TGTTGGATGTAGATGTGTGTCTTTATCCTTTTGGCGCCGGTCCGAAGAAAAAGGGAAGCAGCGTCGCGACGATTATGCTGTGGTTGAAGATGACGACATGTTTGTATCTGGTTGCAAATTCCTATGTTGCAGATGTCTTGTCATAAGATTTAGGAATAATGACACAGAGCTCGGGAGATCTTCGTGTTTTACTGGTTATTTTAGGGCGTTGTCTGTTTTTCAGATTCTTCATACGTGTTAGGGTCTGCTAGTACAATTCAAAGACTTTGTATTATTTCGTTATTTCAATACAAGCATACTTTCTAAAAAGAAAACTTCTCTCCCCGGGCAAGCAAAGGCAGGAGAGGCAACGCCCACGGAGTGAAGGGCAACGGCGCGACGAACCGCTCCCTCGACGGTGAAGCAGCTCCGCAGCCCTCCCGCACAACCAAACGCCAGCCAAAACGACGGTGTGTCTAATTCGCCTAGGCACCGATCACGTGGGTAACTCACCACACCCCAGCATGCCGGCAAAAAAGAACAAGAGCCAATCATCGCAACATGTGCCCTTTGCCGCCGCCTATGCCCACGTACCGACGTACGCACGCCAGATTTGCCGGCGATCGCGAGTTGGACCAAAGCGAAGCATGAACCAGAGCTGAGAGTCCGAAATGGACGTTCGGAGTCAATGTACCTGAGCGCGTGCACGAGTGCCCTGTCCCCATTTTCCAACCATTTTAGCGAGCACTTAGCTTAGTGATAACGCGAGGCCGTGCACTGCAGCAGGCACATACTCCCTCCGTTTTTTTAGTCTGCATATAAGGTTTGGTCAAAGTCAAGCTTTGTAAAGTTTGACTAACTTTATATTAAAACATATCAATATTCACAATATGAAATCAATATTTTCAGATGCATTATGAAATGTATTTTTATATTATATAATTATAATATTGTAGATGTTCATATTTTTTAATATAAATTTGATTAGACTTTGTGTAGTTTGACTTTGACCAAAATTTATACGCGGAATAAAAAGAAGAGGGAGTATACGCTTCCTTTTCTTAGAAGACGACCTTGTGGCAGCGGCACCAGCACGACTTTTTCCTGCGTATCGGCGCAGCACTAAAAACTACCACCGCCCAAGCTGCATGCGCGCAATACCGACTAGGAGTAGCTAGCTTCTCAAGTGTGTGCGCAAGTCAATTCTTTTCCTTCAGAAAATATTTTGCGTGCGTGCACCCGCAAAAAAAAAAGGTGCATGCGCAGTCCATGTTTATCCCATGCTTGCGGACTCTTGTGGAACAACATTTATTTAGTGAGTATATTGACATCGCCCGTTGCATTACACTAGTACATTTGTACGTCTGAATTCCAGGTTCAGTGCATGCATCTGCTGTAGCATGGCGTCAGGAACGGACAGTGACCGTGTGTGTGTGTGTGTGTAGATGATAGTAGATCCGATACGGCTCGAAGCACACGTGTCGATGTAAACAGAGGGGAGCTGTAGCTGTGGACGATTTAACTAATTTGGCCGGGTTCGGGTGACCGTGACATGCTTCGACCGGCCGGCCGTGAGCTCTTTCTTTGGCTGAGCTTGACCATCCAAGGTCTCGCAGTAATTAAGTGCGTAGAGAAAAGCGTGCAAGCCAGTGCCGTTCCGACCGTGCGACGACCGTCTTCTCCAGACGACTCTCCGGTGAATTCAACTGTTATAGTAGTAGCTTACCTATAACCGAAGGTAAAAAGTGTTATCTAGCTGTGGAATTCTGTGAGACATGCATGTTTGGATTAAGCCTCCGTCGATCCGCAGTAATTCCACAGAGAACAGTCCAAGTAACACCTGAACTGAAGACATTAATCTGGCGCGAGAGGGACATTAAGACGGATGAACGAGCGTGTGCAACATGGCGTAGGGCAATACGCGGCAGAGTCCGTCCTACTCGACCGGAAAGGCACCGGACGGAGCACCAACCAAGCCGAATCGTCCGACCAACATAGACCGGCCGGTCGCATCGCACGCCCCATTTCGCAACGCCCCTCCAACGGTTTGATCTGCCTGCTTCTGGCTTGTTTCTGAATCAGCTCGGTACCTTCGGTTCGGAGGCAAACGATCAGTTTTTCTTTAAGGAAAAAAAAACTCTATCTGCATCACCTTGATGTAGATAAGAACGCCTCTGAAATGCGCATCTAGATAGATAGGCTTAAGTTAATTTCCAAAAAAAAAAACGCCGCCCAAAAGATAACGTAGGTTAACGTAAACGATGCCGCCGCTGATTGCACAGGTAGTCAGAACAACCACG